TCTATCTATCTATCTATCTATCTATCTATCTATCTATCTATCTATCTATCTATCTATCTACCTACCTACCTACCTACCTACCTACCTACCTACCTACCTACCTACCTTCTCTCTCTCTCCTGTATCACCCTCCTCTTCCTCCTCCTCTATCTTTGTACCTAAAATAAATTGGCAAAGCCTCAAATGTACTTTTGTTTAATTTGCTTGTTGCTCTGCGAGCTTCAGAATTGAATGATAGCGTCAGATAAACCATTATTTAAATAATGCATAAATTAAATTTCTGAAATGGGACCTGCTCCGTGATGGTAAAATTTCACTGCAGGAAAAGCTCTAAGAGAATTTTTATACCTTTTCCCGTTCCTACACTTATGAATGGGATAGCTCTGGGGACAAAAACCAATCATCATAGTGTTGCAAAATCTTTCTCAATTTGTTCATTATTTTTTCAGGATTCAGGAAAACCCGAAGCCTTAGAGTTCCTTACCACGGTAAAAAATATACCAGATATACCATTTGGGATCTGCACCTGTTCTCAAGTTCTTTCTCACTATAATATCACCCAAAATACCATCTCCCTCTTTCGTATGGTAGGTTTGATTTTACAGTTCTGCTTCTTCCTTGGATAATATCTAAATGCTACAGCTAATAGGTATATTTTTCTTCAGCCATATTTATGGTATGTAGGAATCTATATGATATTCCAAAGTTTGGTTCATAAAACAAGCTAAAGTGAGTCAGTTGCAAGGATAGTGTTTTGCAACTTGTTAATTCATCCAATTTTGGAGTAAGAACAAATTAGTTTTAACCCCAAACTATATTAGGATAACTTTTGATTTATTTTTCTTCCATTAGATTCAGCTGTGCTTTATGAATTCAAAAACTCAATGGACTGTTGAGCATCTTGCTCAGGCAGTCCTCAAAGGTAAAGTGATGAAGCTGAGTTGAAGTTGCCCAAACCACAAGATGCTTCATTACAAAACTTGTTGTTGTATCCTGTTAACCATGGATATGCCTTCTTAATATTGATGGTTTATATCATGTCAATGGGGAATGAAAGCCAGCATGACATAATGGTTAGGGTGCTGGGCTAAGAGTAGAAAAGTCCATGTTCTAAAGCCTCCCTTTTGCATGGACAGCAGTTGGATGTCTATGAGCCAATCAAGTCCCCAAAGTAGCATTAAACACTATAACAAGTCAGCTGAAAAACTATACCTGTTGAGTACCATAATATCTAGAACTAGAGGGCTCAAATGCAAAACACGTAAATTGTACAATGAAGCAGAACAAATGATAAAAACAACAATCAACAATATTATCAGTGAGGAGGCACTATTTACAGAACAAAAATTTACCAGTATTGTCCCGGCACAAGAACTTATGAAATAAAGGCAGGACTGAACAAATTTGGTATGAACTCTTCATTTATCTAAATAGCAACTGTCAAACAAGTTTCCATGACTATGTGTTTCATTGATCATTGACTGGCTGAAGCATCAATGCAACCCAGGAGTAGTTCCAGGGGGGAAACTCTAAGTGCAAGCAATCAAAATATTCTGTAGTTACCCCATATTTTCCTCCTCCTTTGTAGGAAAAAAAATGGCAAATGATGCATTAGGAAAATGAGAGTGTTACAGCAAAAAGGATAACAGCATTGTTCAGTCTGGTTTAAAATATTATAAATATGGCAAAGAAATTTCTTCATTAAAACATCATTGGAACCAGTGGTGGGATTCATTTTTTTTTAACCTTGGTTCTGTGGGCGTGGCTTGGTGTGCGTGGCTTGGTGTGCGTGGCAGGGGAAGGATACTGTACTGTAGAACTGGTCAGAACCTGCTGAATACCATCTCTGATTGGAACATTGTAAAAAAGATGCTTAGACTCTAGAAAGAGTGCAGAGAAGAGCAACAAAGATGATTAGGGGACTGGAAGCTAAAACATATGAAAAACGGTTGCAGGAACTGGGTATGTCTAGTCTAATGAAAAGAAGGACTAGGGGAGACATGATAGCAGTGTTCCAATATCTCGGGGGCTGCCACAAAGAAGAGGGAGTCAAGCTATTCTCCAAAGCATCTGAGGGCAGGACAAGAAGCAATGGGTGGAAACTAATCAAGGAGAGAAGCAACTTAGAACTAAGGAGAAATTTCCTGACAGTTAGAACAATTAATCAGTGGAACAACTTACCTCCAGAAGTTGTGAATGCTCCAACACTGGAAGTTTTTAAAAGATATTGGATTACCATATTTGTCTGAAGTGGTGTAGGGTTTCCAACTCTGTTATTCTATTCTGTTCCGTTCCGTTCCATTCCATTCCATTCTATTCTATTCTATTCCTCTGGATGAAGGCAGAGACAGAGGTATGAAGAGATGGTTCCAAGAGTAGTAGAAACAAATTATGAATATATTGCATAGGAAAGATATCCAATGAGGATCCTTTAAAAAAAAGAACTTCTCAAAGTCAGTCAAATATTTTGGAATGACTCCAGCTTTTAAAAAAGCAAGATCAAATGATATTAATCAGTACACATTTTTATAAATTTAGGTAATTTATACTCCCCCCCCCAAAAAAAAACGTTACAGTAGTATTTCTGCTGTGCTTATTCTCTTGTTCATTGCCTTGCTGCCTTAAAATCCATCCATCCCCATTTTACCTTCGAGAATCTGTGCTTAGTTTCAGCCCAGGAGAATTGTACAAACTGTATGGGCATTATATACTTTATGAAGAGATAAATGAGCTGCTTTATCCAACTTGGGCCCATGAAACCCAAAGTATCAGATGATACCTTTTCCCCTAAATGTTCTCCTTCAAAATTTGAAAAGTGAAAGGGAGAGAAATATCAAGTTTGTTGAATGATTGGCTGAGTTACAGTGCTAATAGAACATCTAGTTATTAATTGCACTAGCATTCTAACATGCTTCTATATTATGAAACATCTTTTTGATAGGCTTGGCATGGATTGCTTCTGTATTTACATATCTATGTATGTCTAAACATCCAAAAGCATTAAGCAAGCCAGTTGCTTTTCGGTACTCTGCAAAGGCACCAGCTGGCACTGTCTGTTACTGCTTTAAAAGGTTTTGTGGTTGGAATGACCCAGTTCTAAAAGGTCCTATTCCAACTGGCTGTCTCCGTCTTATCAGAAGTGTTCCAACATTATTCTGACTTCAACATTTCAGCCTCAAAATAGACCATTCCAGCAATACTGAAAAAAATATTGAGGCAGTTGAACTGAAAATCAGTATATGTCTGGTTGGGTTGGAACAGTCCATTATAGGGTTTTCACCATGAAGCATTTTGCATACATCTACTTGACAGTGATGCATAGTTATTATCTAATATGATTTATAATGATATTTTCCCATTTGCATATCTTAGGGCACAGGTGTCAAATTGGAGTCCTGCGGTCCAGATGCGTCATGCACAGGCCACACCCACCCTGGCTCCGCAAGGGCAAAAAACATTGTGATACATCGCAATGTGTTACATGATGCAATCGAGTTCGACACCCATGTTTTAGGGCCTTCACCCTATTTTGTTTCTCTACTATAAACCTTGACACCCCCTTCTCCCAGTTTTTAGCCTTAATATTAAGAGGTAGGGAGTGAAAAGAAATCATATCTGCAAATTAAGTATGGTCAGAAAGATTTTTTCCTCTTCTTGAGAGATAGCTAAACTAACAATGTCCTTGTTGAGGAACAAGGTAGGAATTACAAATACAGTCCCCACTCAGTAAGTTGAACTTGTAGTTGACTGATTTGTACAGAAAATTCTTTTAGTTACTTTGAGTAGAGATACTGGTTGCAAGTTTCCTTGGCCAGTTGGTATGATGTCAGAATAAGTGGTTGTTTTTTAATCACCTTAAAGTACCACAGAATATATCTGCTTGATAAAAAAAATATCCAATTAATACTTCTATTGACAGCCAATGTGGCAGAGTAGTTAAGATGCTGGAATGGGCCAGTTGGTGACATTGGGCCAGACACTTTATCTCAGCCCTAGGAAAAAAGCAGTGGCACACCACTTCCAAAATTGTTGCTAAGGACACTGCATGGACCTATCCATGTACAATAATTGCCAGGAATCACGACTCATTTGAAGGCCTCTTTTTCTCTTCCACTATTGAAGAGAATCTAGTCAACCCAGTCTATTACAGGTAGTCCTTGCTTACTGACTGTTTCATTCCTAACCATTTGAATTTATTGTGATAATAATAAAAGCTTGCAATTAATCCTCACCTATATGATGGTTGCAGTGTCCCACAATCACATAGTTGCCATTTAGGCACTTCACAACAAATATGCAGTTATGACTGTTGTAGCATTCTCAAATCTCATGATTGACATTTGTGTACTTCCCAAATGACTTGGGACAAGCAGATAAATGGAGAATATGGAAGTAAAACCATAAGTTACAGCTATGAGATGGTTCACTTAATGACCAAATAGGAAATGATGTAGTAAGTACATTACAGTCACATGATTTTCTGCTTAGTGACTATTGTGCTTAGTACAAGCTGGGATTTGCTGGTCTCAGGTGTGGTCACTAAGCAAGGACTTCCCTTGTTATGTAGATATGGAGGGCTAAATAATCAATTAACTGCTGTATAGAACTACATCTTCAAGGCTAACATGTAAACTGAAGGCAACAGGAATTACAAGGCTACAGTATATGCCAAGAACATCAGACTGGGGATAGCTTATTAAATATTTTTGATGGGTTTATGTTCAATACTTGACATTCTTTGGGGTTTCTGGATATATTAAGATGACATGGAAGTACCAGAGTTTTGCCATCAAAAACTAACCACACTAATCCAGGCCTAATCCAATGGCATTGGATGAATAACCCACCCTCCCCAAATAATTTCCTTAAGAAGGTATGTCTGAAAATACATATATATGTTGCTTCTCTGATATAGGACAGCCTTTATGCAACAAAAAATATGTACAGCATTGGAATAAGGCCGATCTGTTTTCACAGAGTCTGTAGCCCATCCCAACCCCGAGTAAAAGCTTTTTCCACTGACTCCGATGGTCACTGGAAGTATCTCAAAAGTTTATGTGTTCTGGCTCTCATTTGTTTTGTACCAGTTTAACACTCCTTATTTTCTATCGAGTTACTTTTGATTTCTTCCCACACCAGTCAAAGAATAACTGACATTAATGGCTGCTTTGATATTTGAAGGGATATAGTAATAACAAAGTCAAAAGACTTTCTATTAAAAAAAAAAGACTGGGACAGGTATTTCTGGGGAAAAGAACACATTTGCTTGGTGAATATAGTAGAATATAGAGGTGTGCATTGCCCAGGATCTCCCTCTCTCTCCCTCCGTCATACAAATCATTCACTTGTACTCCATAGAGCCATGCATACATAAGTAAGGAAATTTAACTGACACTGACAATCCTCTGGAATCTGCTAGATTCCTAGCAGACTAGATGACCTATAAGGTCCCTTCCAACTCTGATTATCTGTTATCTGTTGTTGAATTTTTGCTACTTGCCTGTCTCTTAAGGGACTGTCAGTAAGATCCAGGAAGATGTCAGTGGGAGATCTGTTCCCCCAAATGGAGTTTTTGGAGTCTGAATGTTTTTCCTTGATCTTCTGGAAAAATGCCTGTATTTATTGGAGAGGGTTTTTGCTTGCACAATGTTTCCAGGAAATCTATACATGCTTATGCCAGTGTTTCTTAAGCTTAGAAGTAATGAAATTAGCAGATGAACTTTTGCAAAAAGTAGAAATTAGGTTTTTTTTTAAAAAAAGATCTTATTCCTAAAGTCCCACAAATGCTTAATAATGCACCTTATTTTTTTTAGAATCCAGGGTAGTTTAATTCAACTGCTAATAATTCAGAAATTTATGTTAGCTATTTCTCTAGATAAACCAAAAAAAAACAAAGACTTTATAGTTTAAATTTTCTAGGATAGTGAGTACTATGAAAATCTTGACCAAAGCATAGTTTATATGTATATGAGATGGAAATGAATGGAATGAGAAATTTGTTTGTAGAGAGGCAGAAGGCTAAAAATCTGTGTAGAAAACATAAAGCTCAGAAGTGGGGAAGTAATGTCTGGGGCTTGAAAGATTATTATTGGCTATTGTTTCTTATCACACTTGAAATGCTTTCTGCAAATGTTTTAAACAATAGTGGCTGAAATGCAATGGTGACAGCAAGATTATTTGCTTTCCTTCAGGTGGATAACAAAAGGCAAGATTTGGAAATCCAAGACGGTAACAAAGTTGATGTTGCAAAATTGAGTCGCTTTATCAGGATCAATGAACTCCGTTGGGTGACTGAGTACAACCCTATGGTAACAAAGGAATTTTCTACAACCTAATTAGTAAAGTTTTTATTTGACTGCTGAGTTTATAATGATTTAGGTATAGTTTATAATAATAGGTTTAATTTATTCTTATAATAAGGAAAATAATTGCTATATTAGGAGGAAAGTTTTAATGTCAGATTATCTGTTATCCTAAATAATTCATAGTGGCATATGCTTGGCATATATCATGTGAGCAGAAAGGGTTGATCCTAGAGTTAGGTTGCATGTGGCTTCCAGAGACCTTCAAAATTATACAGTGGTACTTCTGTACTCATTGTTAATTGGTTTTGGGAGGCATAATGAGTACCAAAAATGATGAGTACCAAATTTTTTCCATAAGGATAATGTAGTGAGTCACCAGGCAGCTGACACTGACAAGTTCTAGCTCGTGCCTCAGGTACCAAACAAACTATTATTACTGGGACAACATGTTCATGTCAAAATGCATTGAATACCAAATTTAACGAGTTTCAAAGCAGTTGAGCATCAGGGTACCACTGTAATGCTAAAAAGAAAAATAACTGTATTAAGTATATTTAATTGTAATTAAATGTTAACATAAATGTAAACATTATATTTTCTTTTGCCTCTTGCTCTAATGTCTTCTTTTTGAAATATGACCTGTAAGCTAAGCCTTTCAAAAGCAAGTTACAGACCTTGCTCTGGAAAACGTTGCACAGGTGCAATTTAAGGTTTATAATAGATACTTGCATTTCAACTCTGCATGTGAGGAATACATCTCTTGCTGAGATTTCTTTTTGTCCCTGTTGAGGGTTAATAGTCAGAGAATTGCCCATGTCTGGCTTGGTTTTTTCTTGAGTTTTGTAGCCTAGTTATTTTCATGGAAAGAGAAATGGAGCTTTGAAACTGAAGGCCAGAATATTCTGGACCTCCCATAACGTAGAGTCCCAGTGGTCTGAGCTGGAAGGCTCTTCGAGAAGTGCACTCACTGACCTTTTCTTATTAATTCTGGAATCCTCTCACATATTCCTCTTTTTTAATGGAAAAGCTGGCAGGGCCTCACACAGAGGTCTTTCTCTTTCTCTGACTGTGGTTCTATGAGGCACATGAAGGAGCAGCAGGTCAGCTGCAGACTCTCCAGTCCTCTGTTTGGCTTGTGGGAACAGCAGCTGCAGTTCAGGAAGTGTTAGGGGGAAGAAAGGGGAAAGGAAAAGTCAGATGACAAATTATCTACCACCTGGGGATTATGTGATAACTGCCAGGTGACTGGAGGCTGCTTGCAGAGACTTAGTGTGTGTTGCTCCATCATTTCGCCCCCAGTGATGTGTTCCTTCTTTTAGTGTTCTCTTCCAAGCTACCTCAACTTTGTGGTTTCCAGTTCCAGATAATGTTTTCCAGGTTTCTGCTGTTTTTATAATTTATCATTGTAATATTAGAGAGAATACATATGTGGTCATTTCAGTATTTTCAGAAGGTTTGCTTTCACTCTGTTCTGACTTAGAAGAGCATACTATGCCATACAGCAAATTTAATTACATTCATGATGAAAGCAAACAATTCATTTATTAAAAAATATTGGAACATGAAATTGCAAGGTATTTAATTATTTAAATAAGTAAAAAACAAAGAAGACTGCAACTGAAAAAATGTAGCATTGAACTCAGTAAAATTTCTTTCTATTGATTTGCAAAGTAAAGTAAGGTAAGGTAAGGTAAAATAAAGTAAAGTAAATGAAAGTACGGTATCTTGGTACTCAACTGTTTTGAAATTCATCAAATTTGGTACTCAATGCATTTTGACATGAAAATTTTGTCCCAGTACTCATTGTTTATTTGGTACTCAACACACAAGCTAGAACTTGTCAGTGTCAGCTGTTTTGTGACTCATTACATTATTCCTTATGGGAAAAAAATGTTTGGTACTCCTTGTGTTTGGTACTCTTTGCGCTTCCTGAAACCATTTAAGGATGAGTACTGAGGTATCAAAGTAAAGCAAAGTAAAGTGAAGTGAGGTGAAATGAAGTGTGGAGTGGAAATCTCCAAATAAGTATTTAGATTTACAACAGCAACAACTATGACAAATACAAAAACCAACATTAAAATGAAGGTTAAAGAAAATTTGCCACTTCCGATGTGGATTGCAGCAAGCCCTAGGTTGGATAAGGTAATTTAGCTTTTGACATAATTTCTTTCATGTCCTTTTATCAATGTCATGTTTGCTGTACAAATATAGGGGATGAGGTATACAGATTACTCAGTAGAAGTTGTGCCAGCGCTAGTCATACTTTCCTCCTCTCCATGTTTATTTCCTTGAAACCAGGCCTATATCTTGGTTCAATAGTCTTAAATTCATTATCTGGAAATTGTATTTATATCAGCAATGGCACCAGCAAATGATTTAAAAAGAAATAAAGAGATTTCACAAAATTAAACAGATCAAACATCAAGCAAACTTCAAAAGAGTAACCAATTTTAGGTCAGTTCACTCTGTTTTTCAAAGCTTAGCAGACATACTTGGAAAATTTTTAGTCCTGTTATTGATGTAGCTATGTCATTTTTCTGGGCAGGTGGATATGGTTCCAAACTAAGCCCTTATCTGCAGTCACTTGCCCTTTTTATTTTCTATTTACAGTTTGGGGTCCAACTAGAAAATACCAACTTCCCACTTTAAAAAAAAGTAAAGGTGATTTAAAGGACAGTAAAAAAAAGTGAAGCTTTGTAAATACCAAAAAAGGAGTTTGTGACTTCTACAATGCCTACCTCTGATATTGAGCATCATCCTGCCTTTGTTGTTTCTCTAGCTTTCAACTCAGTTGCATTCTCTTCCAATCATTGACTATAAATTTATCTCATGGCTGAGGGTTATTTTGAACATGTGAGAATTAATGCTTACATTCTCTAATCAACATAATCTCATGGCTGAGGGTTATTTTGAACATGTGAGAATCAATGCTTACATTCTCTAATCAACATATTACTTCATCTGTTCTGTTAATCGTGACAGACTGCAGTAGGCCTCTTTGATAGTGCAGTTCAGACCCATGTTCTTCTGTTCAGTGACAAGACTTCCTCACTGCATATTGAGAGAATTAACAAGTACCGTGAAGCGGCAGTAGCCTTTCAAGGCAAGGTAAGTTTGAAATATTCCTAGTCAATACCACAACAGATTTTTTTGGGAAGTGCTAGTTCTTATATATTAAAATACATATCATATCTTATATATTAAAATACAAATGGGGGAAGCAGGAGGATTAAATGTAAGTGATACTGCACAAAAACCCACTATTTGTCCACTCAAATTAAGAATGACACAGCAAACTTTTAATATTATATATAATAAATGCATGAAGGTGGAAGGACCCAATTTTAAGTGCACATTTCTGATTAGAAAAATCACCTAAGATTTTTTAATCTTTTCTTTCTCTCTATCATTTCATATTATTAATTCAAATTACAAGCTTCATCATATTTTCAAAGTGTGTGTATGTGTGTGTGAGAGAGAGTGTGCATGACTTAAAACTAGGTTAGCAAACAGAAACAAAATTATTGTAAACACAGACTGCGTGGAGTTCACGGGAGCGGATTCTTTGCAGTATGGATAAGTCTGGTCTTGAGCGAAGTTTTTTGTGGTTGGAATTGGTTTTTGCAATGGCATTTATTGTATGAATGAATATACGTTTGCTGGACTCATTTTTGCATACAACTCTACAAAATCTTGGGGCCACAGAGCCGTCATTGTATTTGCACCCAGGGCCATCTCTGGTTATTTCAATGATATCTTCAGGAGAGATGTTTGTTGTATTTGAGTTGCTTATGATATCATGAACTTTGGTAATGTCGTCTGATTCATAGGTGTCTTCGAGACCAAATAAAATGGCATTTGGACATTTCTGTTCACGTTCCATGGTGTCTCTGATGAGTAAGGAGATATTATTTGTGGAATTATTTGAAGGGATAGTAATTGTTTGTGGGTGTGGTTTGGTGGTTATTTTTGGTTGTAGTTGTGATTGTAGTTGAGGTAGTGGTTGTTGTGGCATTTGATTTTGAGCTGATAGGTACTCACTTATCTGTGCTGTATTTTTTTTGAGTAGGGAAGCTAAGAGGTCTGTGTGGCACAAAAAAGTAGTTTAAGCCAAACATAGCATGATTTCTGCATACTATGTTTTGCTGCTTTTGTAATCAATGACAGGTCTGCTGCTTCTGTCAACAAGGGGATTCATGGGAGTTTATGTTCTACTGATTTATTACTTTAGGGGTAGTATAATTTTGCCTCTTCCAATGGCTAATTTTGGGTGCAGTACCATCAATCAAGGACAATGTTTGCTCATTATTTATTACTCCCTCCAACTTCATCAGTATCATTTTGTCACAACTGTATGCCTAATTGACAAGTCACTTACGTCCTTCTCTCCACAACCGTGACCTGGTTCTTGGGTTCAGGTCTCAATATACACCATGTTCAGAAATTTGCCAATTGATAGATCACAGGCATGGAACACATCTGCACCTGCAAATAAGTTGTTGGGCAACTTGGGAGTGGGTTAATCTTACCATTGATAGCATTCATCAACACTTTTACTGTATCTGTCTCTTCCTTACTACATGGTAAGGAGAGCCTTTTATTTTATTTTACTTTATTTGTCAATCACTTACAAGATAATAGGAATAAATATAAACATGAGTAAAAATACAGGAAATAGATACGAATAAATGGGGACAATAGGACAGGGATGGTAGGCACGATTGTGCACTTATACACGCCTCTTACAGACCTCTTAGGAATGGGTGAGGTCAATAGTGGATAATTTGAGGTTAAAGGAGTGGGGGTTAGAGGATGTAACAACAGAGTCAGGTAGTGCATTCCAGGCATTGACCACTCTGTTGCTGGTTGGTTTTCCTTTGATAAGTAACAAAGCCAAGAAAAGATACCAATCACTTTCCTTAACTTGTTCAGCAGTAAATACTTGCAAGTGATGCCATTTTCCTGTCTGATCCTTAGAATAGAATTTGACATCAAGAGTGGGAAAAGTAGTCTAGTTGAATCAAGAACTGGAGGGAAACAATCCTCCAAGTGAATATGCAAGTGACTTTCCAGAATTTGCAAAATCTTTTGTTGAAGTCCAATTCATCAAATGTGAACCCATATACCGTATTTGCCGGCGTATAAGACGACTTTTTTGCCCTGAAAAACATGCCTCCAAGTGGGGGGGTCGTCTTATACGCCGGTAAATACGGGTATATTCTTCGCCTTGTTGGTGAGGAGGCTCGCTTCTCCCTCTCCTTGAGGTCATAGCAGGCGCTGGTGAATTGCAAAGGGTTCCTCGTAAATTAGCTGCAGATCTCAGAGCGGGGACTTTGCGTTCAGTTGTAGCCTTGAGCGCCGGGTTACCCGTAGCTCTGCCAGGGAGGGATTACGCCCCGCAATCCGGCCGGCTCCCTCTCGCTGAGGTGGGGCGGAGGTGGGATGTGGGTCCCTACTACCACTAAGGCTCAGCTAGAGGTAGCGCAGCTCTTGACCCGGCTTGCTCGGTTTCTTCCTTCCGTTTGTTTTGCTTCGCTGGCGATTTCACCTTTTGTGGAGCTGGGCGAAGGGACTGATCGGACCCCGCCTCTGGGGCTTAGACGTTACCCAGAATCAACCTGGTTTTCAGGTGCGTCCTTGGATGGACTCGGGAAAGGCAGGTGGAGAGGCTAGAAAGAAAAAGGATCTGGAACTCCTTCTTTCCTGCCAGATCCCTGGCAAGCAGCGTTGGGTAAGACCAGGCAGGGCCTGGCGTTTTCCGAAAGGACTTGCCTGTTGAGTGACATCAGCTTCTGAACTAAAGCCCACTATGTCAGATACAATAAAGCAGAATGGGTGTCTTTTTCTCTTTAAAGACGAAACAGAGGTTGGGGGTGGGAAGAGAAGAAGGGGAGCGATCATGTTAAAATGACAACTTTCTAGATCCAGTCCCGAAGAGGGAAAGGAAAAAAAACACAAACGCCTAATTTCCTTAATTTCACTGCGATTTCTCCTCTTTCTCACATCCCACATTGTCTTCTCTTGCTGCGGGGAGCAATGTCACCTTTTTACTCTGGTATCGATGGAAAAGCAGGTTTGGCAGCGGTATCAAGTAAAAGACAAGTGAAAGGCTGAGGGGGATTGACATCAAGATCAACTTATCTTCATTATGGGCAGCTTTGCAGCTTTTCATATTTCAGTTCATATTTTAGCAAGCATAATTTAATGATAGTGGCTGGCAAGTCAAATCTTAGATGCATTGCTAAAATGGGATCTGCAAATGTGGGGTTTTCAGAAAGCTAAAGGAAGGGGAGTGTGGGTGTGAAAATTTGGATATAATTAATCATGGCTAGTTTAAAATGCAACATTGCCACAATTAATATCAGAGTGAAAATTATGCTTCTGCAGGCCCTATTTGTGTCTTTCCGGCTTAGCTGAAATACAATTCTTTTAATAAAGTTGCCTGTCCATGACAAGTCATGGTAAATGGGTAATTTGAAATTTAGGCACACACACACATTTTATAAAACTATGAACTATAACCTGCTCTGAATCGGAAAATTACTTATGTTCTATTATTTGGCATACTTTCACAGCCTTGTGAGTTTTCCTGCATGTCATAAGCATTTGAATATAAATTAACATGTTGAAATCAAATCTGATGTTCTTTTACCTTTTATTTGGTATGTGGAAGGTGTGCGGAAGAGGGGGTAGTCTTATACGGCGAGTATATAACAAACTCTATATTTTGAGTGGAAATGTTGGGGGGTCGTCTTATACGCCCAGTCGTCTTATATGCCGGCAAATACGGTACATTTTTGGATTCATTTATAAAACATAGCAAAAATACATATTTTGATGCATGTAGAGCATATTAAAAAAGGGAATATTGGTAAGATAATATTACCAATACAAATTTTTCTTTTCATGCTGAAATCTGGCTTTTTTCATTAGTGGAATTTAATCTACAATACTCTTTATGATTACATAAATAAAATTAATGAATAAACTTGCAACAGGTTTACATTTCTTTCGATAAATTTAGAAGCCTTAGAAGATTAGGTTTAGAAAGACAACTCTGATAAAACCTTATCATCCTTTAATTCCTCATCATTATAAATATGTGTTATCATGTTTATTTGTTCCATGAACTTTTTAAAATTGTGTTTTTGTTCTTTCTTTGAAGGCTCTGTTTATCCTGGTGGACCTCAGCATCAAGGATAATGATCGAGTGCTGTCTTATTTCCACTTGAAGAAGTCCCAACTACCTGCCCTGGCTGCCTACTACACTGCAGATGAGGAGCAAGATGTGCTGCTTCTGGATGAAGTGTCTGTGGAGAGAATAACCGATTTTTGTAATGCCTTCTTGCAGAGAAAGGAAGAAGTGAGTGTACAGAATGAGTTTTTGCACACATGATTCCTTGACTAGTCAACAGCTTGCTGTTTCCTTGACATCATCCTGGAAATTTGGTGCTAGGTTTTCTCTTCCTGTCAACATCATTTCCAAGGTTATGGCTAAAAAAAATGTAGAATTTCAAAACATTTCTTCCTATCCCCTATCAGCATTGTCCAACCTAGTGTTCTCTAAGTGTCTCTGGAGTTCATGGTCATCTTCAGAAAGATGCTCACATGAAAATGTTATTTCATTTAGCTAATGGCTTACCAAAGAACTGCTTTCTCCTTTTGAAAAATGGTGCAATTCCATAACATTTAGAAATGTTCTATTAGTTATTAATCTTTAAACCTGAAACTCTAGAATTGAAATAGGTAATACAAATTGCACTAGTTTGAATGATTTCATTCAGTGTCTTATGTTTTCTTTCTCCTTTGCACAATTTGTTTTTCCAACCTCTGGAAATTCTGAGTTTATGTTTATTTATGTTTTTCTAGGGATTAGAGAAAGGAAGCTTTAGACTCATGGAAAAATAGAGAACTGTGGTAAACTTTGTGTGTACAGATACTTCAGACCCTGGGCAAGGTTTGGGAATTAATAGGCATTAAATTGGTTCACTTCTTTGACAGAAACAATCTTAAGAATTAATTATAAACCTTATTGGTGTTGTTAAAAAGGAAGATCCATTCTTGTAATGTAAATAATCAGAAATGGCATGTGCTGTATTGTCAAAAACCCCGATACTCTCTGTTCCCCAAATTACCAGGTTGCCTACCACTGTCTCCCACCAAGGAACTGTATTTGTTAGAGGAAAAATACATATATTGCACATTTCTATTACAATGTCTCTATTATAACCAACAGGAACACTTAGGAGCCCACCTGTTTTTAAGGAAAAAGTCTTGCCTTAAGGTTTTTGTAAAATACTTACTCTCTGAGTAATAACTAGCTTATTCTTTTCAAACCTATTTTTGCAGCCTGACAGTTGATTCATGAGTACTAGTACTTCAGCACATCAGATGCCATGTGTCGTATGATTGCTGTCATTGCACAGATTCTTAGGCTGTTAGCTCAAAAGGGCAACAATTTGTTAATTAAACACCTTAGGACCTTTCTCCACTATTAAACAGAAATGCTACTTTCTACCAATTTTTCAGTTGTCAGAAAACAATATTGGTATGCAAGGTACAGTCCCTATTGCCATACTCTGTTCTATCTATGTTTGCTACTATTGCCAATGATGTTATCTTAATTTTTTGCGTAACACTTTTGGTATGCAAAGTAACTAGTTTAATCATCTGGCTGTGTCCTCCTCCATCTTCTCTTTACCCCAGCTAGCAAGAAAAACACCCACCAATAAGAAGAAATAGGGAGGGTTTGATTTCAAGGCTCTGTCTTCCTGAGGCAGCTTTGTCTGTCACTGTTCAATTCTTTTGTGTTTTTTGAGATTGCACATCATATATATATATGCAGATCTATCTACACGTGGAACAAAAAGATCTGCTTGTAAGTTTCGACGTGGTTTCACTATTCACTCAAGTCCCGATAAAAGAAACCCTAGAAATCATCAAAAATAAATACCAACCACCCAAAAACCTCATGGAACTAGCAGAACACTGCTTAACCAACACATATCTCATATACAAAGGACAAAGATACAAGCAAATTGAAGGAGCCCCTATGGGATCACCACTGTCACCTGTCATTGCAAACCTGTTCATGGAAGAATTCGAATCCAGAGCCCTAGCCAATGCCACCCACAAACCCAAACTATGGCTAAGATACATCGATGACACATTTGTTATTTGGCCCCATGGAAAAGAAAGCCTAAACAATTTCCTAACACACCTAAACAGCACACACCCAAAAATCAAATTCACCATGGAAATGGAAACAAACAAACAACTACCATTCCTAGATGTACTAATCTACAAAAAAACAGATGGCACACTAGGACACACCATATACCAGAAGAAAATACACACCAACCACTACCTCAACGCCCAATCCCATCACCAGCACAGATAAACTCCATGGCCAAAACACTAATTGCCAGAACCAAATGCCTGGCAGACAAGACACACATAAAGATTGAACTATGCATCCTGACTAAAATACTGACAGCCAACGGCTTCCACAAAAGCAAAATCACAGGCCTGATCCACAAAAATACACTGAGACATAATGGAGACCTAGAAGATGAACAGACCTAAGGAACAGCTGTTCCGCCCTACATAAGAGGTACTACAGACAAAATCAGTAAGATACTACACAGGCATCACATCAAGACTGCTTTCAAAAGAGACAGAAATATAGCAGCCATCCTAAGAAACCCCAAAGATAAAATTGACCTGGAAAACCAAGGCATATATGAAGTCCCTTGCTCATCATGCCCTGCCACATACATTGGACAGACCAATAGAAGAATAAGTACCCGCCTGGATGAACACAAACATTCAGTAAAAAAGCTAGAACACACTTCCTCACTAGTCCAACACACGAAAGCCACAGGTCATAACATCGACTTCAATGGCACCAAAACCCTAGCCACTATACAAAACCCCAGCTACAGAATTATCAGAGAAGCCATAGAGATTGAAAAATGACCTGAAAGCATGAAGAGAAGATATGACTCCCACAGACTGTCAATTATCTGGAAGCCTGCACTCACAAACAAAAAAATCTCCACACCACAAGCCAAGCAAACACCTGGGCACAAACAGACCCCCCCCGATACCTCCAGCTCAAACACACCCCAACCAGGCACCCAGATGAAACCTAGCTTCCTAATAAATGATAGCTGTCCGTTTATTCGAAGCCAAGCCGCATTAAAAGCCTCCAATACAGGAAACACAATGTTGCCAGCAAATCAAGACAAAAAAAATGCTTCAAAACAGACAGAAGATATTAGAAACACCAATCAAGCAGAACACAGCAAACTCCAAGACCAATAAACACAGACCAAGACTCCCAACTAATCAGGATGAAGAAAAAACCATTCTAACACAGCAGTAGGCTAGCACCAAATTTAAAACAGAAATGGCTGTGAAAGCCTGACTCACAGACGAACACAATACACAAGCCTGATGATGGCAGATGAGATTCTGCCAAAACGTTGCTACAACTTTAAAAGCACAACTATAAGAGAATCTAAATGTAATTTTAGTTTCAGTAATATGTCTTTGAGGCCTGAAGAGGAGAAAGTTTCCATGAAAAGTATATAGTCATTTCATAAGGAGAATTAAATTAAAAAAAACTGTACTTTTTAAAGCAGTGGTCCCCAACCTTTCTGGCTTTGCGGAGCAGCGGAGGGTGGGAGGAGAGGAAATGGTTCTGTGTAAACAGCAGGTGTGTGTGCTCAGCTCCATTTGCATGTGCACAGCTCCACTTACACAACCTGGTTCTGAGTGGGCCGCTGCCAGTACTGGGCCATGGCCTGGGGGCTGGGGACCCCCCATTTTAAAGTATTAGAATTGAGTTACAATATCCCATTTATGTATTGCTCAAGAAATCAGGAAAATGCTTTGCTCCTGAAGGAGGCCATTGGTCCAGCTAATGAAGGATAGTGCCTAAAGTTCTACAAGTTTTTAGGGATGAGACTTTCCCAGTCCTACCTGGTGATGATAGAAACAGCATCTGGGGCTTTTGAAATACAAAATATCTGCTTTGCCATTAAGCTACAAGAAGTGATCAGGAATTCATTTTATGGTAAGGTACTAGCTTGATTTTTAGGATTACATGTTTCTGATTTGTGCAAGTGATACTGAGCTAAACTTGAAACATAAACTGGAGGTGGAAGGACTTAAGCTTAACTCTTTTGTCAAGCTATATATATTTTCCTTCATGATATGATGTGTTTTTCTTTATTTTGCTTTGTTTCAGGAAAAAACCTCTAAACCAGAGGACAACCTCTTCAGAGAGGAACTCTGATTTTTTTTCAGCTCTATAACAGAAATATGACAACTTCAATTACTGTAATCAACAGCAACCTAGAAAAATGTCTTCTCTGTATGAGGTTCTCACTTAAATCAGATTATGATTCTGTTCTGGAATCAATTTCCATAGAAGTGCTGACTGCTTTCTCAAACCCTGTGTTCTTTCATTTTGATGTTGGACATATTACACAAATTTTGCATTATATTATGAAGAAATTATATTATATGACTGAATAAATAAAGTTGTGAGTTTGTATATTAAACAAAAGTCTAATATTTCTGGAATACATACTATATTGGAGGAATGTTCATATGCAATGGTAGAACACACACAATACCTTTTTACATAGTATTGAATATAGCTTGAACTAGGGTTTCTATGTATCTTGTATGCATTTATCTCAATTTTATTTGCCTCTAATAAGCAGTTTTTTCAGATTTTGCTTTATGCCATAAACTTGTCTGAACTGTAATAGAAACAGAATGAATTATATGCCTATATGATTGGAAATTTTCCTTCTCACAAATTGTTTAAAATGTCCTAAAATGATTGAGGAATGGGTGTAGGTTCAGATGTCTCCTTTTTAAGAAAGTGAGGAACCTTAACATAAACTTTTCATGATGAGGCATCTTTAAAGCCTTTCTTCTGAGTTAACATGAAATAAATGAATCAAAGGAAGACATTTCAACCAAATGAATATGAAGTACAAAAGATAAAGAATGTGGGGATGAGAAATACGAAAAAAGGCAAACACAAATAGTTAAGGAAGGCCATTGAGAACCTTCTTTTTATCAGAATGAAAAAGTTGGCTGAAGATATAATAGAAAATATTAAGGAGAAAAAAAAGGGTAACAGGTTTTTGTTCTCTCATATCCATCATGAAGAGAGGTGTTGTTTATTTTTATACATTGCTCTTAGAACAAAGGAAACCAGAGTCTCATAAAAGCATTGACTTTAAAACTTTACAACAAAACTTTAAAATGTTTTGTTGTAAAGGGAAAGCCCTTTGTAAGAAAAGTTTGTCACTGGACATTAAGTAGCCAGTTCTGTTCCTTTACATTGATTCATTCCATTAAAGCCATTCATGAGGTGCTTGCCTCATGAATGGTTAGCCCTTTCTAGCCCGAATGTTTGCTACTCCCAGCAAACAGTCACCACACTGTCTCTTTGAAAAGAGTTCAGCTTTAAGAGAACTGCTCAGAACGGCAAAATGCAGAAATCACAAAACAGCTCCTGTGTGAGATTGGCCAAAAGAGTAGAGCTAAGAGTAAAAACCAGGTTTGTTTTCTTTATCTTCTTCAGTCACCACCTGAAGTTTCCAAAATCAATATATGGTAATAATCCAGGTAAGGAAAATGGTTCTGAAGGAAACCTCTGACTTACCATAGGATGAAAAAGAGAAAATGGGGGACCATAAAAGCAATCCTTTAGGCATTTGGTGTCTCATTTTTATCTCTTGTTAATTTTTTTCATCCCAAAACTTTTCTACTCTTATTTGAATTAATCAACAAACCAGAATTGTTAAGCCAAATCCTGCTATTTTGGCAGAGCTGCATGAATCAAAATGGTACAGTTGAGGACTGGATTGTTCAATGCCTAAACTTGCCAAAGCAAATCTCTTGTAATATGGCAAGCATCTGCTCTGAAAAACACCTTGCAATATACATAGGCACACATATCAGTTGCGTGCACTGTCACACACACCACATTCAAATCTGGTCCCCAAATGGATAAATAAAATATAGAAAATATCTCCACCTTTTAACCAATGGGTTTTATTTGATTCTACCGTAATAACTTACTAATAAGCACCAAGATAGATCAGGATCTATTAGTAGAACTTTGAGTAACAAAACAGTAAAGATTTCCAGGGCTCAGTTGTTTGAAGAGTAATAAAATAACCCTTCTCCTCATGGGAAAGCAATAGTAATTTTGATCTTTTTGCATGGAACTAGTGTTTAAAATACTCCACACTCAGAATGTTTTAATTCCAATAGTACAATTTTCACATCAGTTTCAAGTTTACCTATTTAAAAAGTAACAATTCAACTTTCAAAGGAGCTACAGAGATAGATGGAGGGCTCATACAGAGAGCTATATTGTGTATAATATGTTGGGATAGGCTGTTTTGCTTAAATTGATCACCTCCCCCAATGCCTTTCAGACGTGACTTGATTAAAGCCAATTTAATATTAGGGTTGCTGTGAAGATCTGTCCACCATAAATCACTTTGATGCCTACTATTACAAGCTAGGCTTTCACGCGGCACATATTACCATGCAACTGAAGTCTTCGTGTTCCTGCAGAATAGCATTTTACAGATAAATGATGGTCCTTCTTTCCCCTACAAATTGTCATTCAATTAGAGGAAAGGGAATTGGCTTTAGAAATTTTATCAAATGAGAAATTTTTATGGTGGATTGTGATTTTCTTCTACATCAGGGGTGTCAAACTTGCGTTGTCATGGCATTGTCACATGATGTATCATGACTTTTTCCCCCTTCTCTAAACCGGGCATGGGCGTAGCAGCACATGATTAATTTGAATACTAAGTGTTGAAAGATTCTTGAATATTTCAAAGTTGCCTGAAATACTTGCAATATTTATAAATAGGGAAATGGCTTGGCCAAAAGTACCATGTAAGGAACAGAGATGAGCTACATCTTAACAAAAGAAGGGGTAGAACAGCTTCACTGATTAGCCTCTCATGCATGATAATGAAAATAAGTTTTAGACACACAAAGTAGAGGAAAAGTAGAGGAAAAATAAAACAGAATGTAACAGGGTCTTGTGGCTATGCTTATGTCCTTAGAAGAAGAATTATACACATATTTTGCACGTCTACACAGATAATTATAGACAACTTTTTAAAGAAGCTTGTTGTGCATATTGGTAAATTTAACACCCACCCCCTATTTTTTGTCTGGATGAGCACATCTCAAACAGTAATCCTTTGAACCACAGTCTGACTAAGAAGGCCTCAATCTTCCCACATAGTTGTCCATAACTAACTAATACTAAAACATAGAAAGCTATAATATGATGTCCTCAGAAATCTTCAGAAATCTATTCCAACTACTGGAATAGTTATGAAGAGTTTAGCTATAAGATTGTGAATTCCTTAAGAATTTCACAATTGCATTTTTAAGATAGGGAATCAACATGTCTAGGCACTTGTTTTATGCGTCCTTCAAATTCAGACAATTGATGAGGAACTTGTGCAAGCTTAGCATCTCTGTTATTTCTCAAAGGAACCTAATCTTTTTTCAGGCTTCTGGATGAGACTGAAAAAGAGAAATGTTCCTGTTTTAATTAATTTACTTGTTAAAAATTTCATGCCTAAAAAAAACTGGAAGAACCGTACAGTACATACCTGATTTAACTTGCATTATTTTTTAATTTGTCTAATTTTTGCTACAATCAACAGGCACAATTTACTTATGACTTGCAGCAGATCCAAAATTCAGCCCCCAAATATCTAAACACCAGGACTACTGGATCTGAACTTCAAAATCAACCAAACACCAAAATGGCAGCAAAGAATTACAATTTTCTATGCATTTTAATTCTCATCTAGTTGTAGGGAAGATCTTATAGTCCTACAAGAACCCTTGAAAATTGGAAATAGAAATTTCTTCTTATGCCTGATGAAATAATGTTTGCATCTAATTTTGCAGATATGTCAATCTTTACTAATGTTCCTAGTGTTTCTTAGAAAAATAGAATATGATCACTGTAATTTCATTTAGATAATTCTACTATTTAGATAATTAATAACAGACTGGTTCTTTTGCTTTTCCAGTGTCCAAGACTAACCACCATTTACGATTCTGAAATACACTAGACTATAAATCCCTATAAATATGGTTCTTATGATGTGAGATTTCTAAAAAGAATTTTAGTATTAGACTCAAACCTGAGTCACTTTTCCCGTTAACCATTTCTCCTGAAACAACCTCTTAAGAAATTGAAGTCAAAAAGAAAGTTGCTGTCTCTTCAATAGCAAAAATGTTGGCTGAAATATACATTGATCTGCCATTCTAGGTTCCATGACTATGACAAGAACAGAATGCTAATGTCCAGAGGGAAAGCATGCTGGATGGTTTCTGGCCATGTCTAGGATATGGAAAATATTTACATTTGCAGGTTTGTACATTATGGTTGCCATTGAAAACTATTTTAAAATATCCCATGTTCTAGCGGTTCTCAGTTGAGAGTAATAAAAAGGACATTGAATAATTGAATGATTGTTTATAATTATTTTCCTATGTCAAAAGAGTGATTGATTGATTGATTTGTTGATAATTCTAGAAACTACTAAAACAAAAGGTAGGATATTCTACTACCCTATTAAATCAAGGATGCATGAACACTAAATATTTAGTTGAAAATGAATTGTAAGCAAGTGATAATTGTTTGAATATAAAAGTGAAACAAGTAACATAAACATAAAAGATGCATTATTGACATGTTCTTGGAGACATTCAGTGACTTATCCAGAATCTCATAGAGAGACAGGAAGAATATTTCCTAAGTGTCATTATGCTGTCAAATAACAGATCCTTATTCTGCACCAGCAAGTAAAAATAAAACCTTAGCTACATAGCAATTATTTTTAAGGGAAAAAGTGACATAGACTCAAGGGAGAGTTTCCTAATGCATTAGCTTGTACATGGGATCACTTTGGTTAAATGCCAAATCCTCATCATCCCACGCTTCTCCTTTTTGAAGACTTTTTGTGACAGGAGAAACATACTGTGAGACACAACATTTGTTTATTTGCTTGCATGGAATAAGGCAATAGTAAACCACTACTATATTTTTACCAAGAAAAGCAGCTGGATAGAAAACATAAAATAGCTGGCAAATCATGCCACATGAGGATTCAGATGGCATTCAATGACACATGAGGATCAGGTGGCACTCAAAATCCTACTGAGGAAGAGCTGAGAATATTTTGGAGTACTAATTATGTGGCTAAGTTAAAGTCTTTTGGACATCATGATGATGATGTTCCATAAAGGGAAAAAAATATAAAGTTGCAAAGATAAACTCAATGGGAATATGGAATATAAGATGTAAGAATGTAAGAAAATACAACATGATGAAAAATGAAATAAAATGATTACAATTTGACATCTCAGTGAATTGGGACCACTGTTGCAGATGAAGTGGAGGTGGATGAGTTTTATGACCAGGTTCAA